ACCCAGCGTGGAGGAGAGAAACTGTCAGGAGTCGAGCGGTGGGGGGTAGAGCGCAGTCACAGGAGGCTAAGTTCTCCTTCTGCACCGTCCCGCTCAGCCTCCTGTAACAGATCAGGAGAGTGGTGTGGGGGCGGAGACAGCTGTCACAGGAGGCCAAGCGAGTGTTGAGGGGGAGGAGTCAGCTGTCAAATGCAACGGAGCTCTCCCCCCCGCCCGCTCGGCCACCTGCAACAGCGAGTCAGGATGGAGAGCAGTATACAAACATTCTGCAATCAGTGATCGCTGAATGTTTGTAAAAAAACTGGACATAGAATGAGTTACTATGTACCAGTTATGAATGAATAGGAAGTGATCTCCCTTACTTCCTGTTCATTCATGATTGTGTACATAGTAACTCACACTATCTCCACAATTTATGAATGAACAAATGAACAAGAACACTCAGTATAGAGGCTTCCTGTTCATTCAGTGCTGGGGCTGCAGAAAAAGAGATTGAGGACTCTCTGTCCTCAATCTCTTTTCTATTGTAAAAGGGAAATACCAGGGTTCTGTTTTGACCCCTGATACTTCACCGAAGCAAGTAAAGCTAAAAAAATTTAATAAAAATTTAAAAAAAATTGATAAAATTTTAAAAAGGTTTTGAAAATGTTTTTTCGGTTTCGGCCTGATTTTTTTAATTTTCGGTTTTGGTCTCAAAGTTTAATTTTGGTGTACCTCTACTAATCTGTATTGAAGTTATAATCCATCACGGGAACAAGCTTGGAGCGGTTTCTACTTTATAACACATGGGACCATGGGGAACAAAAGTAGCCACCCTCCAGAAGGAAGGACAGTGTCAGCACCAATACAGAGATGATTTGAGGATCTACAGCTGAGTGATACACAAATAGGATACATGTTTGTTAATAGTTAAGGTACTTAAATGTATTTTTAAGATTTAACTCCTGAGTTTAGCGTCACTTTAAATAGAAAGGAAAAATGAAGGTATCTGAAAAAAACAAAGCTGCATGGAGAAGAAAACAAAAGTAATATACACCCTCAAATTCCACGCAAAGCATTGGTAATGTTGTGCAAGTGTCAACAAGACAGGTTTTCTAGTTTATTTATGTCGGCTGTAGTTACCAATATATACTCAGCATGCAGCAGCAAAACAGGTTTATGGCCATGGCTAATAACAGATTATTCTGTCAATCAATCCTTACTGAATACTTGCAGTAGAGTCATTACTGTATAGCAATCTTTTTAACAGAGAAGGTTTATTAGATCCCTAGGATAGAGTAAATCTTGGCTCCAGTAATATATGTTGTTATCTTAATGAATTGTGACTGTCCACAAGAAAAACATTTTTCAGTTTTGTTTTTATTTTTTCAAAGGGAAGCAGTGCTGTCATAGATGACTTACACAACAGTTCTCTGGGGAAAGCTAACTGCTGTATACACATTGACTTGAAACAGCTCCACATAAAAGGATACTACACTGGTTAGTTATATCAAACTATCTCTCTGAACTGAAAAGAAAATCTGTTCAATAACCATGTAAGAACCGTTTTAAAAAGGAATGTTGACCATGTAATGTACCTTTAAAGCAAAGCTATACTTAAATGTTAACTTAAGGTGTACCTGTATTCATGTCAGTAGATGTAACCTGTTATCACAGTGTTAGTGCAGGCAACCAGAAGAGTCTGCACATATCCTAAGTTATTTTCTACAGTGTCCCGGGAGTTCCTAAACCTAAGGCGCTTCAATATGACAATATTGGCTTCATCTAGAAAGTAGGCATATGGCCTACCCTCCTCTTGTGCATCTCTATTGGTCCACCATTTGGGACAAGGACTCTTACAGTCCAATAGAAAACCGTAAAAGGTAGGAGAAGGTGGTGTCATGCAAACTTTGCAAGTAACATTATTTGCACATTAGAACATTCTGGGTTTAGGGTTTTTAGGGGAGCTATAAGATAATGACACACTAACACTTTGATGCCAGATTATATCTGCTAAAATAGGTACTTATTCTCTTTAAAGTAACACTTTCCATAGCTAAATGTTCATCTGCAACATTAATAAAAGGCATTTACACACCAGTGACTTTCAATGTCCTCTTGAGTGCAGGATATTCTTATATGAAAATACTAACATTATATTTGACATGCAAAGCTGTGTGCTTCCTCACTACCTCCACCCTTCCCATACCTCCCCCTTGTACCCTATTATGGGTTTTTATGCATTATAGACAGGCACATTCACCAACAGGTGCAGGAAGTAGAAAGCCCAGCATATCATCGATCCAAGCTACCTCCAAAGCTGGTCACATGACTAAAGGCCTAGGCATTTGGTCTCATGGTTTCTGCTGAAGTGGAGGACCACCCAATCGGAACTCTGATCCTCCCCTTAGAGATTACGTGATCCAACGTAGAGGCTTCATCAACATAGCTTTAGGCAAACATGCAAGTATATGTGAGCTGTCAACAAATCAGAGCGCTCTCCTGCTCCATGTCTCTGAGGATGGCAAATATACTGTATTTCTCTGTTCAGCACCACCATTGTTTTAGCTGTTCCATCAGTATCCAACAACAGGGTTAGCACACTATCTGCAGGGTCACGTGCACTGTCACCTGAGGCCATTATATACTTCTGCTCTCAGCGGCCAGTTTGTGAGTACCCAAATATTTTCTTGGTGTGTTTTTATTAAGTTGGCTCAGTTGCAGTGCAACATGTTGGATTACAAAGACAGGCACAGCTGTGCTAGATTTTATGAATAAAATCACTACCATGATAGTTGTCAGAACGCAGGGGCCATAAGTGTACCTTTGTACCATCCCATCCTAAGTATTTATCGGTCATACCTGCAGCTGGGGCAGCCTGTAAGCCTTTAGCTGTCAATGGGAGGTGGAATGAGGAGTCTCACAAGTCCAGTCTGGAGGAGTTTGTACCCGAGAAGCCTCGGCCTGCTGATATAATTCACTAAGATAAATATGCCATGTTGAATCTTATTGATTTAGTGCACACATGTATAAAGATGAAACAGTGTGGTCAAAACCGCTAATGTTACCAATCTGGATAAAAGACCCCCAAAACCTTTCCAGTACACTCCTTCATTCAACCTTTCCTGTACAGAAAATGTATTGCCCCTGAAGCTATTCTTTCCTCAAAATTGTTTTTTCTAAGCAATATCCACTTAAGAAGGCTTTTATTAAAAAGTGGGCTGTCCCCACTGTGGATCCATCTAGATAGGAGCCTTTTGATTCAGTGATTTCTATATTCCTAAAAGCTAGGAAGTCTACCTCCAGCAAAATCTACCTTCGGATATGGAATGCATCCTAAGAAAATACTTGATGAGAAGAATGTTGTCTTTTTTGCAATTGGCTCTCCGTACCTTTAAGGGTCAAATTTTACCCCTTGCTACCCTGTTCCAACGATCATTGAAATAGGAGCTTTCTTGTTTTGTACTGCCACCTATATACAATAAAGTGGAAGAGCTAATACTTTTTTTAATAGACCTGTGTATGAATACAGGCAAAGGTTTGAGGTTCCTCTGAGTTGCCAAAGGAAGTTTTATTCTGGCACCAGGCAGCAGATAAGGTGTGCGATCTTGGACTACAAGTGTCTCTGGGCAGACACTGACAGGGAGCTGGCATAGTGCAGATTCATGAAAAAGTATATACAATACTCAGATTAAAAAGTAAACTCAGTGGACTAACAGGCGTTACCACAAGATTGCTTCCTAAACTGGATTAAGTCAATGCCAAATTTAAATGCTGCCTGCAGCTGCACTTTAAAGAGAGCCTGTCACCAGACTTCACTTTTAGTTTGAAAACCTTGCAGCAGAAGAGGACAATAAGTGTCAATTACTGTCGATGTCAGCCCCTGCCCCATTCCCCTATGTAGGTAGACAGCCCAAGTCTGCACAGCTATGTGTTAGCACATGTTAGGGTTTTAGACAAAAACAGTGATTTATTATCTGTTCACCTATGAAGCTATAAACAGAAGTGCCAGCTAGAGTCATTAGTGCATAAGAATGTAACCAAAGTAGGAGGTGACTGTAGTACATGCATAGTGGACGAGGTCTTATTGCAGATATTATTCAGTGGTCTACTATGTGCGAGCTCCTACTATCCACCTCTCTGCCCTGTTATCAATGCTGCCCGGCGCCAAGTGTCAGCTTGAGGTGGAGTGGGGGGGGGGGTACAAGTGCGAGGGAGCTACATCCATACGTGCATTGCTTGCAGCTCCCTCGCGTACCCTGTAGAGGTGCCTGGACCAGAGTGCTGTCACATTCTGGCTGCTGGCACCTCTACAAGGCACACAAGAGTGCTGTAGAAGCAGTGCACATATGAATGGAGCACCGCCACAACATGGCAGCTTACACTGGACCCCAGGCTGAGGATCCACTCCAGTTCTCGCAAGGTAGGGAGACTGGGTGGATCTTAAAAAAAATTGTAAAAACTAAAAAATTTTGGAGTGTGTATGTGTGTGTGAATGTCTGAGTGTGTGAGAGATTGTGTGTGTATGTCAGTGTTTTTATGGGCCCATTCACACGTACAGTGCGTTAATTGCACAGCAAGGTGCGATTAACGCACTGTACCATACAATCACAACTACTGTGCATTCTGGTGCAGGAGGGGTGTTGCGTTGCCATTCATTTGAATGGTACTCCAAATGCACCTCCCACCTACAGTTCGTACACCCGCATCGGAACGCGTGGTACCCTAATGTCATGCGTTCCATTGCAGTGCGACTTGGGTCGCGACTTAATGACCAAGGACAAATGTGGGTCCTGAGGTTACACAGGTTGAGAACCACTGAATTAAATGACAGCTCTGAGTCTGCCTGGGGATGCTGATGTCACATCAATGGTGGCACCTAGCAGCAGTCTCCGGCTTGTTCAACATCATAATATCATCATCAATATTTACATTATTCATGATAATTAAATGCATGAAACAAGCCAATTTGACATATAATCTTATGTGAAGATTAGTGGTGATATTATTAATGTGGGAACCCGGTCTCTTTAAAGCATTAGATTTAGTGCTGATGGAGAATAAAATCCTTGGGTCTGTATCAAGGTGATGTTAGTGTGACTGCTTCTCTGCAGTTAAGGAACTTTAATAAAAAACTTGCAAGAGTGTAATATATTATGCAAAGATTATCCCTGCTGATATAAAAAAAATGATGATTTGAATAATTAGAAGACATTCATAACACAAATGCACATCTTCAGACAAGTTACATTTTCCAGAGGCTGGATTCAGACTCTTTCCATTCTTCGCCCATCAACATATGGAAGTTAAAAGGCTTAAAGTACTCCAAGCGATGACTGTAAAACAAAAGAAGATAAAGCATGGTTCTAATTTTGTTAAATACATTGATAAGTGGATACTCTAATTCGTGCAGCTATTATTTAATTTTCATTATACACGTGACTAGCTAAAAAAAAAAAAACTGAAGCACATTTCATTTCAGCTTAACTGGTTACATATCCTGAATCTGTTCTATCAAAAAAACTTATCGTTTGCTATAGTGTAGAATTATTGGAACTGATCTATAGTTGTTGAATCAAAGGAAAAACAGAGTCTGTACCCAAAGAAGCCAATCAGGTGTAATGTCTGGAGGACATTGATTGTGTGCTGCACATCTCACAGCACCTATGGGCTGTAGAGACCATTAAGTTAAATAAAATGGAGGCAGGAAATAAGGCACAGGATAAGTAAATTGTATTTTTGCCTGCAAGCCCCAGTCCAGGAATCCCCTCTCTGAAGAAGCTAAGAATCATTTACATTGATCACACAATATTACCCATAACTAAAGGTGACCATACACTTTACAACCATCGCAAGACCTTAGTCTTGCGATGGTTGTAAAGTAATTAAAAAAACGTACGATCTGCCCATCTTGGACAGACAGATCGTACTTGCGATCATCTCAAGCCCGCCCCGCTGAGGGGCGGGCTTCCGATGACCACAATGCTGAACGGGCAGTGTGCGTGTGCGCACACTGGCCCGTTCGGCATTTGTCTCCCGAGCATGCCACAAACCAGCCGAAAATCACAAGATTTTCGGCTGGTTTTCGAACATGCTCCTTAGACAAAAGACGTGCGACCGTACAGTAAAGACGGTCGCACGCCTTCCATACGCTTTGCGATTATCGCACGATCGTGGGATTTCCCGCGATAATCGCACAGTGTATGGGCACCTTAAGAGTTAGCCAAAGACGCATTAAAAAAAAGGACTGATGTGGCCACATACTCTTGGCATTATAGCCACCTTTATTCTGCACTGCACATCAGTGCTGTCAGTCAGCATAACTTGGTGCAGTAGGTGGGTACATACATAAATGCACATCTCTCCCACTGCAAGCAAAGGAGGGAAAATGCTTGCTTGTGTGTAATTATTAGACTAGCTCATTACACTGAACAACATGCTCTTCAATGAGACAAGAGTTCTACTATTATGAAGGAAAAGTTTCTTGGAAAACAAACCGACTGTCTATTTCTGTCCCTGTAAACCTTCTCCTGAAAATAGCTTTTACCGGTAAACATCACTGTACACATCATGTCAATAGCAAACAACTTTGTCAAATGTCTCCAGTCAGCAATTAAAGCCTGAACAGTAGCCGCGCTTCAGTTCCAGCTGTCTTCTTTGTTTCCCTTTGCCTTGAGAGCATTGTAAGAAGAAATCAATCATTGCTTTCACATACTAAAATAGTTGTCTGCATCAATATTGGCAACATGGCCATTTCACACTTACAAATCAGGTTGCTGACCCGCTAGTATTTCCTTTTCAGGTACTGGATAAAGTGACTCATAGGTTCTCTGTGAGCCAGAACCGTGTATAGCAAAGCCATTGAAACGGTCTACTGAAGAAGGGAAGTATTCCCAGGGCAGTAGCGCACAGCCTCTCCAGGTCACCTCTTTTATGGATGCTTCAAAGGACAGTGGCAGACACTCCTGTGCAGGGAATCAACCAGGATAATTTTACATATATACACTTATGCTCAGGATTACATAAAGGCCTTAGAAAAAACATGGTATGCATATTACAATATATCCTGCGGTTGTGGAAGCGTGAAGGACAAAGTCTCCTCATGACAAAGACAAATGTAACATGCTAACAAACACTGCTGCCAAATAGACAGGCTCATCCATATTTGCACAGAGGAATTCAGTGGTCTCATGAGAAATTGCTAGTTAGCTATGCTATATATGGATAGGACCACATGAAATTTCTCTGGGGAACAGAATTGTCCAAAAGAATTTGAAGACAAGTTACCTTTCATTGCTTATGAATGTTTAATCTGTGAAGGACAGGTATAATACAGTAGAATAGCGTACAAGGTGGTATACTGTAACATTCTGAAACAACAGAGAATAAACTAGGCTTTGAATACTAACACATCTATTTCGCTCTGATATACAGTATTTTAGGAGCTTGGTGCCAATACACATATTACAGTTCCAAAGGCCTCGATGTATATCATGACCGGAACGTCAGGGGATTCTCCTGTGCAGTTCAGATGTATTCCGGTTCACCATCACTAGCTACACCTGCAATAGAGGTTCATGATTTCCATTGTGGAATTTCCTCGTGAGGAGGTAATTGGATAGTAAACACACGAACAGGATGGGAAATGATGGAGGGAGGGCAGGGAGAATATTAATTTCTGTTTAACTGTAGAGCATTGTATATGTGTGCTTAATTCTGGAATTTTCAGCTAAAGGTGAACTTCAGACAAATGACTGAATATACAGTTTAAACACAAACTAAAAGCAAACTGTTTTACCTGTCAAAGCATTTGCAGTCCTGTTCAGCCACTCTTGTAATTCAGGCAGCACAGACAGAACCTCTCCTTCAGTACTGATTGAGTAGGAACACCCCCCCAGCTTGCTGACTGGCCAACAGCATCTTAATGAGTCACTATTTTGCTCACGTCATTCTCTCTGCTACATGTTCATTGCAGCAGAGCCTAACTGGATGACCATTCCTCTCCTTATCTGAGCCTTGATTTGCAGGAGATCAATGGAGGCTAATATCAAGACAAATTTAGGAGCCTACAATAGGTGTGTGTGTGTATATCTATCTAGATAGATAGATAGATAGATAGATAGATAGATATACACACACACACACACACATAAATATATATATATATATATACATACATACATACATACATACACACACACACACACAATACACACAATACACACAAGGAACTGCGCTTCTTGGTACTTTTATGTCTGCATGAACAGAGCTACATGTGTATTTTCTGAATGGATCTGAACTGGTATCAGCCTCTAGCAGGGTTGGAGTGTGAGATGGAAAGCGGTACAAGCAACAATCAGTTTTAGGCCCCGTTCACACTGAGCGATTTATGCAGCGATATCGCTCATATTTCCACGCGATATCGCTCTATGTAGCTTCTCCAATCCATTTCAATGGAGCTGTTCACATCTCGTCGCTCAATATCGCTTGTAGCTCGTCGCTGGTAGCTTGTTGCTCCTACATGACCCTTTTTTCAAGCGATTTCGAGCGATATTGCTCCCGATTGCATACAGCCCAATAGGGACAAGTCGCTCAATATCATTCGTCGCGCAATATCGCTCAAAATTGCGCGATTTTCATGTCGCTCAGTGTGAATGGGGCCTAAGTGTTGACCAGAAGCATTCTGATAGGGAAAGTATAGTGACAGAACGATGAGCTCATCATTGTGCTGCTTTTGCTCTTACTGTCCAGTCACAGGCTGGGGTGGGGTGAGTCTAGGACAACTTGGGCTCAGAGAAAGTGGGTTGAATAATGCTGGGCATCAGATTGAGAACATCTAAGAGTAGAAAAAAGTACTACATGAGAAATCTCTGAACTTGAAGCTGAAAATTGCAACAAAAGCTGGTTTAGTTATTTTAACTTTTGATGGGCTATTCAACTTTATCTTGTTATTTTTGTCTGAAGTTCTGCTTTAATTCTATTCTAAAGCTGCAAAAGAACTTAGTGGTGAACCAGAATTTTTGGTTACATGTTTTTGTGATCTTTGTTTAGCATAAGTTTTGTATTTTCTTATTGTTAAAAAGGAGAAATCTGAATTTCAAATTTGAAAGAAAATAAATTCACTACAATGGGAGTCAATTAGAAAATTGCAATACAAGCCACTTCCAATATAAGCTATCGATTGTTCTAATATACATGGTCAGTTCTACTTGATTTCATCAGCTCCGATGTTGAGTTTTCTCACATTTATTTGCAGCTTTTGTAAAAATTCACTAATTCTGTACTCATTTTTCAAAACCCATTAAACTTCTAATTCACTCGCCTGCAGCTATATACATAAAATGGAAAACAGTCAGCAAATTCTTTAAGAGGCTGCCAATTCGGAAGCATGCCTGGCAGAAGTGATGGCGACAGAGCAAAGGCCATCTTGCGAATTAGTAGGGCCGAAGGGATATCTTTGAGAGTTTCAAAGAGAGGCTTCTGCAGCGCTGACAGGACTATGTTGATGTTCTTCAGAGACACCAAAGTGCATACAGGGTGGAAATCATGAGCAACCAGACGTGACCAGTGAGGAGCAAGCAACTGAAAAAAGAATTGCCAAGGCAGAAATTTGATCCTTGATAGTAATCAAGGCTTGGCCTGGTCTAGGCAAAACTGGAGGAAAGATGAGGTGGTGTTTTACGGAGTATCTCCTGGGATATAACTTTCTTGCTGCGCACCAAGTGAAAAAAGCCTTCCTTGCGGGAGGTCGACTTCCTAGGCTACATGGTGTTCGAATGTCAGCAACCAAAAGGTCTCTGTCTTTTAAGACCTGGACTTCAACTGTCAGACCGTTAAAGCCAGTGACCGAGAAGCAGGGCTGAAAACCAGTCCTTGGGACAGGAGGTCTGGCCAATCAAGTTTTCACAGAGAGTCTGCAACTGAAAATCTTTAGATCGAGAATAGGGTGGACTTCATGGCGATGACCAGACAGGGACAGTAGTCATTTAAAGGGGATATGTGCCATCCAATCTTCCCCCTCCTGGTGGGCATAACCGCCAAACGGGGTCTTCAGGGACAGAGCTGCACTAAAATGGCCCACAGTCTTGGGCCTGTATAGCACCCCGTGGCAACTGCACACTCTGCACAAGGTGTCAAGGTAAGTGCACCACGCAGTATCCAGTGCTCCAAATGCATTGCAGTCTAGCCCCACATCTTTCTTCCGGCAGGGTCCAGGTATGGTCCACCATGGCTATGCCCAGAAGAAAACTGATGCGGATATGAGGTGCAGTGGCTGGGAGAATCTTAGGGAAACTTGCTAGAAGTGTTTTGAGCAGAAAAATGCCGAAAAGAATGTGCTTCTCTCAGAGCAGAGAAAAGGTGTCCATAACCTAAGGAAGCTATCAAAAAACTAGGGCAGGCTGGGAGTGGGAGGAATTATACAAGGCTGCCCTTACAGCTTTGATTTGCCAGTGTGCAATCACTTGAGGTAGGTGCATATCCCATGATTCCAGAAAATAACTCCCCGTTTCCTGTGATGTACGATAGAGAAATCAATAGCGTGGATTAAGGAATCACAAGTGCTGGATATTGTATTTAGGCAGCCACAGCATCCGCAGCTGTCTGAGTAACAAAACTGTATCTGATAGGATGCAGTCACTGTTCAGCCAATAAGTTTTCAATTTTTAAATCAACTTTTGCTGAATCAGCTGAAATTTGAGCCATCTATGGCCAGCTTAGTACCAACAGCACTAGATTCATCTAGTATTCTATCTGCAAGGAGTTTGGATGTTCTCCCTGTGCTTGTGTGGGTTTCCTACAGGTATTCTCATTTCTTCCTACACTTTAAAGACATGCTGTTAGGTGTAATGGTCCCGGTTTTAATTGGCAGGGACTGATGTGAATGTACAGTATGTAAAGAACTGTGTAAATTATCAGTGCAATATAAATGCCTATAAAAAACAAAATATATAACTGAGCATAAAAATACATACATGTTCAGACTGTAAAATAATTAATTTTATACACACTGAAACACTAAAGTAAATAATATTTTTGCTTCAGGAAAAAAAACACCATTTATCAATAATCACCCCTACACAAGTAATAGGCAATGAGACGTTTGTGTTTTAAAGAAGGGTTGTTTTCTTTGTGGCTACTATTACTACAAGTTTAAATGATCTTTCAACCAATGTAGATTTCTTATTACGTATGGGGCTATACAGATGCACTGAGCACTCTGTTCAAATTATCAATTAGGTATAATCATTCTGTGATGAAGCCAAGAGCCGTGGAGTGCACGAACGTTCTAAATTTGGCAAATCACCACTAATTACTCACGGAGTTAAGAAGAAAGGATGATGCTGAAGGTTTCTAAACTGTATTATGCCTAATCTTCGCCCGCCCTCCTGTTTTATAGCTGACAACTGTTTTGCGCAGAACATGCCAGCTTTAATTAGAAATTTCATTTTATTAAATGGCTGCTTGGCAGAGAAGAACTGTAAATGAAAGGAAGGGGGAATGGGAAGAAGGACTATCCTCCAGGTAGCTCGTTTTGGTTTCTGCAGTGGCGAATTGACGATTTGATTTTCTGCTGTTTTAAATGTTTATGATCCGTGTTTCAGGCTGCTCGGCAGGATTTGAAACTTCAGCAAAACCATTACCCTCACTTACCTTCCAAATATGCCTGCGTTGAGAGAGAAGAAGCACCAAATGGTGCCCGTGTCTGCAAAAATAAAAATTCACAGCAGTATATACTTGAGTCATTTTTTTATGTAAGTACCTAAACTCTACAGCTGGAAAGAGAGGCACGTAGAGCAGGTATGATTGTTTTCACACTGAGTACACAGCAGCACCTGCACAACTGCATTATACTCAGCCACTGCTGCACTGTTACTCATCATAAGATTATAACACATTCAGATAAAACAGCAACTTGCCCATCGCCACCTTCTGTTTTTAATATCAGACAACAAAAAAAAGCAGTGTGTGGTTTATGTTTTCTAAAATGAGACTTCTCTTTGTAGAGGGATACACACCTTGCTTTGCTGTTTGTTGCAACAAGGAAAGTGCAAAGCAGGCTAAACAATACCAAGGCTTCCCCATCTTGGGAAATTCTAGATGTTCCCCAGAAAAACTTCAGGGACAGCCTAATCATATAAATTAGTTGACTTTTCTTCCAGAAATAGAATAAATGAAATCTGTCACATAAAATAAATATGTAGATGAGAGCAGAGAGTGAATAGCCGAATGCAGCATTCGGCTCGGTCATTCTGTTCGCTAATGAAAACTGACAACAACAAAAAAAAAAAGACGGTGTGGGGTCCCCCTCCCAAATCATACCAGACCCTTTAGGTTAGAAGGGACCCCCGATGTAAAAATAAATAAATGTGTGGGTTTTCCCTCCAAAAGTCTTACCAGACGTCACAACTCGCTCCGTCTATTTGTTTTCATTACATGCCAGCTCACTGTCCTGAAATGGCATATAAACCAATGGGTGGAGCAATTCATGATGTCACGACCCGGTCCGCCATCTGTTTACATTAGTGAGTGGGGCTGTCAAATCTGTCATTTAGTGGCAGGCGTTCGTTCGGAGCAGATGGGTGAGCGGGCATCGGGACTTTTTTTTTCATCCCGTTCATCGTGATTGATGCTGGATTGCATAGCTGAATGACTTGATTGACCTTGGAATTACAGCGTTGGACGATTTTTTTTTTGACAAAGGACTTGCCGAAAACGGTGTTCGTGTTTTTTGTTAAATTAAAGGATTTTTTTCTTACGGTGTTGTATGCTTATTTACTTTTCACTTAACTCTTTGGTGCATGAGGGTTAACAACTACCCCTTACTCATTCACAAAGGGGTGGGGGCGGCATCTGGGTGCCCGCTTTATGAAAGGGGGTACCCAGATGAACCCCCCTGCCCGTAGACCCCCACAATCACCAGGCCAGGGCTATGGGGAAGAGGCCCTTGTCCTCATCTGCATGGGGACTAGGTACTTTTCCAGGGGGTCCCCCCTGGAAAAGCACCCTCCCAATACCAAGGGCATATGGCCTGGTATGGTGTGCGTGTGGCCCCACACTTTTTTTTTTACATTAGGGGTCCCTCCTAACCTAAAGGGTCTGGTATGAATTGGGAGGGGGACCCCACACTTTTTAAAAAATGTATTCTAATTCTCAAAACTTTGCAGGGAGCGCTCTCCTGCAACCGAAATCGAGCCCAAAGATTAGCCAAACGTCCGGCTAAATCCTTCGGCTCTTTAGTGAATACCCTAGTGAACCCCCTTAGTGTGTGGCTTAGCTGGCTTGACAAAAGTAGATTACTGAATTGACTTTTGTCAAAGGAGCCAGACTGCTGATTTTCGTCCAATGTCTCTGCAGCCAATAGGCTTCAGTCACTTTTCATGTACTCGGACAGTGGCAGATGCTCAACCTCAGAATACAATAGCCACAGCAGACTGAAACAGGGAAGCAGAGCTGAGAGAGTTGGAGCCAGTTGTTTGGAAAGATCATGACTGTTTGTGCAAAAATGTAAAGAAATACTTTGCAGGGCAACGTATATTTGTTTGATCTGGATTCATTACTGAAAAAATTGGAGTTTAATACTACTTTAACCCCTTCACGACTGAAGATCTACACTGTACATCTCCATCATTAACTGCCCAAATGACTGCTCACGTACGTGGGCAGCTATTCGGGACTCAGGAATGCTGGTAACTGCTGAGAATTAGCAGTTACCGTTCATTAATGGATGCCTCAGTATTGAGGCATCCATAATGAAAGAATTAAGCTTTTGTAAAAAAAAAAAAAAAGCTTTTGTAAAAGCTTAATTCTTACATTAATGAAAGAATTAAGCGGTTACAAATACCAAATGGCTACCGTGTTTCCCTGAAAATAAGACACTGTCTTATATTTTTTGTGGCTCAAAAAAAACACACTGGGTCTTTTTTTCGGGGTAGGTCTTATTTTTTTTTTAATGTATAACATAGTTACATAGTTACATAGTTACATAGTATTTGAGGTTGAATAAAGACATTAGTCCATCAAGTCCAACCTATTAGGATCTCATTCTAGGAGTAGAGGGTAATCAGGGGTGCCATACGTTTCCAGGAGCAATTTGGTAACCAGAATGAGCGAAGCGCGCTATAGAGGAAACATCGGCTTATGCGGCTCTGCTCCCTGCGTTGCCGCCTTGCTTCCTCTAGCGCTGGCTTCATTGGCACCGCTGATTCTCTCCCTCAGCTCTTCAAGTTCCCCCTTATGCCACCACCGGCCCTGGGAATGGTCACAACTAGGTCTTATTTGCGGGGTGGGTCTTATATTTGAGCAATTCCAAAAAATGTTGGGGTAGGTCTTATTTTTGGGGAAACAGTGTATTAGCGATCTGGTATATAACAGCTGAAATAGCAGAACAGTGTGCATACCGCTCTATTTCAGTTTTAACAGCTCTGTAGAGATCGGGACTTCTTGATGTGTACAGGCTGTTTGTTACATTCTTCAGCACAGAAACATGTAGCAATATATTTCTATGCTGAAACAATGTTTCAAGGCTTCTGATCGTCTGGGAATGATCAGAAGCCTTTAGCAAGATCTGAACCTGACATGCTGTCAGGATCAGTATCACTATGGTTATTATTAGGCATTAAATTAAATTTAGGAACAGCCAATAATAATCTAACATTAAAAAATGTATTAAATTATCAAGCAGTCATAGTGACTGCTTGATATAATTGACAAAATAAAAGTGTAAAAAAAAGTGTTAAAGGAGAACTATAAGGTAAGTGATTTACCCTGATCCCCATAGTCAGAGCCGACGTGTGACATTGAAACTGTCACACGTCGACTCTATAGATCAGTAAGTGAGCGAACACATACTGTCGCTCGTTCACTTAGGATCATCTCCCTGCAGAGAGTGGTGGCTGCCAGTCCACCGCTCCCCACAGGGATCCCCCCCTCCGCTCTCCGATCCTCCAGCGCTGACTGAAGAAGCGGACGGTGGAGGGCGCAGGCAAAGCTGGTTCTGCCTCTAGATGGGCAGAGCCCGCTGTCAATCAGCCAGCTGGGTGGGGGATCTCGACAGTATTGATGGGATCTGTCCCGGCTGCATGCTCTCAGTATATAGTGGGCAATTGCCCGCCATATACTGAGCTTTGGATCACGGGAGGGCGATAGTATATGTCCTCCTGTGACCCTAAAGAGATTTATGGGATAAAAAGGTTACCCCATAGTTTTCTTTTAAGTGTAAAAAATAAATAACAAAAAAATATACAAAAATTATAAATTATAAAAAATTAACCCCTTAGAATGAAAATGTTTTTCATCCTAAGGGGTTATTTTTTTTCATTTACCCCTCACGACGGCATTGTTCAAAGTATGTCGCTGTCCCTAAGTGTGACAGTTAGGGACACTTAATGACAGTGACATTGTAGGGCACCTTACCTAGACACTATTAGTGATTAGAGAAAAAAAGTTAGCTTTTAGTTTTAGGCCGATAAGTACACAAAAATCTATGAAATCCTAGGCATGTGAGGCGTTTCCAAATGAATTTATTTCAATGCTTTTTTTTTTAGCTGTGCTATTTTTCTAAAAAATAAAAATAATCAAAACTAGAGAAAAAGTGTTTTCTTTATGTGTTATTCATACTAAGTGAGGTGTTAGGCGCACGTATGGGATATAAATATATATCGCTATCTGTCCTCTCAAAAAAAAAAAAATATATAATATGTGTGGGTGCACTTAGTAAGAAAGTATATTATTCCCGTAGAAGAATCCCACAGCAAAAATTTAAAAAGTGCGTCAGTCATTAACAAACAGAAGTCTAAGGATCAAGCTACTTTTCCCATTGCACAGTATATTGTGCACTTCCTAACCTTCCCCATGTAACAATAGGGTTGCTTAATTATACTTACGGGCAAAGCTCAACTTCAAGATACTGTTCCTTTTCATGGTTTAAGAAAAATGCTTCCACCACTTGGAAAAAAAAAAAAAGTAAGCAATGTGTAAATAATAAGTAAACATGTTTTTCAGCACTGCAAAATACTGGAAATGTGTATATTTGCATATAACAGTGCAATATTTCAAACTATCTTTCCAAGAATATAAATGTATAAAAACCAGTGTTGATCTGATTTTGTTGGATTCAGAATTGCGTTTATCCCCATACATATCTATAGGAATGTGAAAGCAGGTCAAATTCAGATCAACTGCACCTGCAATAAATTTTGAATGAAGCATCTCAAAAGTAGAGATGACCTGGGCTTGAGTTCACCCAAGTCTGCTCAAAACTGTGACTGGCACCCCCTCCTCCCAGGCTTTTCAGTGGCAGCAGTTCAGGGACGTGCGGTCAGGGGAGGCAGGTGAGGCAGAAAAACAGTAGAAAGGCATCATGGCACACTCACAAACCAGCATGTAAAACAACTTGTCTCACCACTAAGAACAATGACAGAGGTTTGGATACACGTCTTCTGCAGATGATGTGAAAGCCGCACTGCCGCGCCAAGGCACCTCTTATAGTGCGGTCCTAACTCTAAACTATGAGAGTCTCCATCTTGGAGCACATGGGGGCAGAAGATTTTGTTTTGCAGGTGAGGCAGAGCCTCACCTAGAATTATGGAGGAAAAAGCGGTCAGCTTCATGTCTGAAGCTGACCCCTTTTTCTCCATTCAGATCAGCATCTAACAGGTTACACAGCAGGGAAATCCTCCCTGCTGTGTAACCTGCCATGGACGGAGCGCCTCAGCAGTGAAGAGCAAATGAGGGACAGGGAGGCTTCTCCCAGTCCTCCTTTACAGTAGTTTGGGGGATGGGGCTTCGTCAGATGGGGGTGGGGCTTCCGACAGTGGGTGTGGCTTCGTCCGGCGGGGGCAGGACGTGCTGGGGACGAGGTTGGGGAATGCCTCACCCAGAGCAAGAGGTACCACGTGTCACTGCAGCAGTTGCTGCATGGACTTTCTCTGTCCCTTTATGACATATAGCTGTATGGTGCCCCTCTTCTCAACT